AATCCCATTGTTGATAACGTGGGAGCGAGTCTGCGCCACTGTGATTTATGTTTCCATCAAACACTCCACTCCGTTTATAGATTCCTCAGATGGCTCAACGGAGTCAGGATCCGTGATTTGCAGATTCAATATTCAGCTTGACTTTAACTTCAAACCAGCGCAGCATAGCACAAGTGCAGGATGTGTGAACAGTTCCAGAAAAGAAAGTTCACCTTCACGCTGTGCATGCAGAGCTCAGACAAATAAACAATTTTCTATCTGTTTGTGGTGCATTTGTATGCATGCAGTGTGCAGGAAAGAGTAGGATGCAGACAAACAGACAAAACCACCAGAACAGACATACAAACACCACCCGGGGAGGTCTGTGGTGAAAAGCGTGGGAAGATAAATACAGCATGGTGATTTAGGAAGGTTAGGATTTAAATGATTTCAATGACTTTCATGCATGAAAAGATGAGACTGCCACACTGATCCATATTCAACAAGGACGGTTTTGTAAATGCACAGCAAGTGTGTGTGTGCTGCTTTGTATAGTTCCTGTAAAGGATGTGCATCTCAGGTGCTCCATCAGATAAGAAGGAGGCAGCAGTGAACACAGTCAGCGTTAAACAGCGATAATAGAACAGAACGCCATCCTGGGTCAATGTCAGAGCTGAATCTAATCCACAATGATTACACTTTCATTACCACCAAACCTCGTTTCCAGCACTCCGTCCAAACCCACAACTTTTTATAGTTTCTTAGAAACAACAGAAGAAAACATCCCTAAAAAACCTATTAGAAAAAGCAATTCATACATCATCAGGAACAAGACAAGACGCAAATCATGTTTGTCACTGTCTTTGCCCGTGCTTATTTGTTTGCAGGTACAGTTTTACTGGAGTTTTCAGGATATAATCATTGGATGCACAGTTACTATTGATTAACTTTTGGAGGTAACCCCATTCAAGATGGCCACGACATGTAAGCAGCTTTTAAAGCCCCACAAAAGTGAGTCAGCCAATTTTACAAATACTGAATTTGGAGTGGTAGTAGCTGAAAATAATCCTCAACACATAGTCAAGCTCTAACACATCTTGTGGAATCGCATAATAATTTACAAGATTTTATAAGAAAATTATCCTCATTTTAAAATTTAACAGTCAATATGGTGGGTAATACGTACACTGTTAAGCAATGCTCGTCTTTTAATAGTGTGAATGCTTTAAATTTTCTTAGATTTTTATTTTATTTTCATTTTTTGATCTGTTTACACTCGTTTACTGCTCCTTTCATATTTTTTTCTGGTTCAGCTTCTTTCAGCATCCTTGTGCAAATTCAAACTTTTTTTTCAGCTACTTTTAGCTAAGTTCAGCTTTTTTTGTGCTCCTTTTAGATTCTTTCTGAGAACTACAACATTTTTGTGCTTCTTCGAACTTCTTTCTGCTAATTTCAGCTTCTTATGTACCTTTCAGCCTTTTCTGCAAATTTCAGCTTTTTCTGCTATTCCAGCTACTATTTAGGTGGTTTTATGCTCATTTTAGCTTTTTTGACTAATTTCACATTGTTTTGGATCTCCTTTAAGCTCATTCCACTTCCTTAAGATTATTTTTGCCTTTCAGGTACTTTTCAGTCATTTTTTGCAAATTTCAGCTACTTTTAGCCATTTTCCTAATTTCTGTGCTGATTTCTGCTTACCGTATTTGTCGCACTATAAGTCGCAGTTTTTTGCATAATTTGCATGCCCTGTGACTTAAATGCCGAAGCGACGTATTTATGGATGTTTTCCCATATTTATAAACCAATTTTTGGCTGAGATATGACCGTTTTCATTCATTCTGACTGAAATATTGAACTCTACCATTTTCAGTCGCTAGATGGCACTTGCGTAGTATGGCATGCCGTTGTATCATGTAATAGGTAAACGTGTCTGTTAATGACACAATTGGCTTGCCATAGACTGCCAGCGTCGTCTGCCTGTAGCAACGGTCAAATTAGCTTCATTTCACTGTGCCGTCCCAGCGAAATGAAGCTAATTTGACCGTCAAAGTGCATTTGTAAAGCAAAAGTTAGACTGAGACACACCTTTACTATAATTTCAAGCAAACAAATAATTGTTTTTAAGTGTTAATCTTGTTAAACTCTTGTTAAAATCCTCCTGTAGATGCTCCTGAGGCCGCATTTCCGGGTTCGGCCCACATTTCTGGGTTGTCAGTGGTGACGCATAATAGGTGTGACGTATACAGCGAAGCGACATATATAGGGATTTTTCCACTTTATTAGACATATTTGGACTGATGCGACTTATAGGGCAGGTGCGACATTTGTGGAGGAAAATACGGTATCTAAACCTATTTCAGCAAATAACGGTATGTGTTTTTCTGGTTTCTTCTGCTAATTTAGGCTTTCTTCCATTTCAGCTACGTTTCAGCATGTATTTTAGCTAATTTCAGCTGTTTCTCTGTATGTTCCTTTGTAATAAACATTCACACTGCATTTTCGCAGGAAATCCTATTTCTCTTGTTGTTTTTGTAATCAGTTCTTTATTTTACTGACACACTGAGCTGATACTGTTTTAATTTCCAACATGGTACAAAAGGCTCAAGCCAGCACAAAGTCTGTTAGAATTATCACACATCACAATGGTAGCTCGATTTTCACTTCTGTAAATGCTCTTCCTCTTGCTGAAACAAAGTGGCACTTTGTGTTTCTTGTTATCTATAAAATCAACAAGAGGAACAAGTGTGATTGCTTAAGGTTTCATTTTATCAAGATCAATTTCCTTGACTTACAGTAACAACAGAATGATACAAACATGTTTGCTACAGCAGATAACAGTGACTTGTAAAAGTATTCATGCCAATTTGTATTTTTCTGTTTGGTTGCCTCATCCTGCAGTTTTCAAGCTATTTCAACAGTTCATATCAAAACATTCATCTCTTTCAGGACAATCCTGACTTTTGGTATTGGTGCAACTTTAGTTTTTTGAAATATTTTACCTTTTCTGACATTTTTTTTTTCTCATCAAAAATTAATTGAGCTCATTTTCCATCCTTCTAATCTTTAGATCTGTTTACAACCTTTTACTGCTCCTTTCACATTTTGTTCTGCTGCAACTTCTTTCAGCTTCCTTGTGCAAATTTAAACTTTTTTCAGCTACTTTCAGCTACTTTCAGCTGTTTTTTTAGTTGTTTTGTGCTCCTTTCAGGTTCTTTCTGCTAACTACAACATTTTTGTGCTTCTTCAATTTCTTTATGCTAATTTCAGCTTGTTTTGCTTCTTTCAGCTTATTTCTGCATTTAAACTTTTTCCACTATTTCAGCTAATATATAGCTGTTTATGCTAATTTAAGCCTTTTCAGCTAATTCCACATTTTTGCACTCATTTCAAAATGTTTCAGCCTAATTCAGCAAAAAAATGTGCTCTCCACTTCCATCTGCTAATTTCAGCTTCTTTCTGCCTTTTTAAGCTACTTTTTGACAGTTTTTATTTTTGTTGTTAATTTCAGCTATTTTCAGTTAATTTCCACTTCTTTGTGCTTATTTCTGCTTATTTCAGCAAATGTTCTTTCTGCTTTCTTCTGGTTCAGCCTTTTCAGCTACATTTTTTAAGCATATTTTAGCTAATTTCAGTTGTTTTCTGATAAATTCAAGTTTTTCATAGTAATTTTTACTACATTCAGCATATTTAACTTGTTTCTGCTCATTTCAGCTTATTTCTGCTAGTTTCAGCTTTTTCCAGTTAATTCAGCTACCTTTTAGCAGTTTTGTGCAAAATTTAGTTTTTTAGCTAATTCCATGTTTTTAGCTCATTTCAGCTCTTTCCACTTCCTTTTGGTAATTTAAGTTTCTGTTTGCCTTTAGAGCTACTTTTCAGCACTTTTTTTGGCAAATTCAAGCTTTTTTAGCTAATTTCCCAATTTCTGTGCTAATTTCTTCTTACTTTAACCTAATTCAGCAAATATATGTTCTTTCAGCTTTCTTCTTGGTCGGCTGTGGCTGAGTGGTTAGAGCAGTCGTCCTCCAATGTGAGAGTTGGGGGTTCGAATCCACCAGCATTCACATGCTGAAGTGTCCCTGGGCAAGACACTGAACCCCTCATAACCTCTGATGTGTGTCCCATCAGTGTATGGATGTGATAAAGCTCTGATTAGTCTCTTTAGAATGATTTGTTCCATTATTTTTGTAGAGATCTAGTAGAGTGCTGTATGAATGGATAAATGAGGACACAGATTGTTGTAAAGCACTTTGAGTATCTTGAAATAAGATAGAAAGGCGTTATATAAGTACAGTTCATTTACAGTCCATTCTACTAATTTAGGCTTGTTCGTTCATTTCACCATGTTTTTAGCTAACTTAAGCTCTTTTTCAGCAGGTTCTTCAGCAATAAGCACTCACTGCATTTTTGCAGGAAATGTAATTTCTCTAGTTTGACTGATCATTATTTTGTTGCATTTGTTATACTTTGTACTTGCCAGCTATCTTACTAATGTTTTTCTTTACATTTTGTATTTTTGTTGGATGTAACTGGAACCCTATGTACATAGTTTCGTTCCACCTCATGTACCACGTGATGTGAATGACAATAAAAATCCTTGTATCGATGTTTGACACTGTGTGCTGCTACTGATCCCCTTTTTTACCAACTGTATCATGCTGCTGGAATTTTAATTACCCTGAAGGAGTCTTCCCAAGGGATCAATAAAGTTTTATCGAATCTAATCTACCAGTAATATAATTTTCCTATTGCATTTTATTCTTCCACCTATTTTCTGAAGCACATTATAAATGTTGTCTTCTGTTGATGTTTCTGCCTCTTTACAGTTGAGGGGTTGCATTTCAAAATGTTTGGAGAAACGCAAAGCAGAAATAATTGTGGTTAAGTCATTTTGAAGCGATGCAGACGTTTGTAATGCATCCCAAACCTGCTCCAAATAATATATTTCCATATCTGAACAGCTTTGCCTCGAAGTGTCAGAGCTGCTTGCAGTAAAGCATGAAGCTAAACAAAGTCAGCAGTACCTTGACGTCTCGGTGGATGATGTTGTTGTCATGGCAGTAGCGGAGCGCCTCGAGGATCTGTCTCATGTAGTGACTGAAAATTAAATTAAAAAAATTGTGCAATTACTGGTACATGACAGCAGTTGTTCACCAAAAGTTTATAACAATATAGATACAGCATAAAGCCTCACCTGGCTACTGCTTCACTGTAGACGAAACCGGCGTCGGCTCTCTTCACGATCTCAAAGCACAGGTCTGCTCCATCCATACTAACCAGGGAAGGAAAGAGACACACGGTAAAGCTGGACTGCTGCGGTGAAAAGGGCGTAAGACTGGTGAAAAAGGTTATTCTTATTAAAATGTATGTGATTTGCTGTAGAAGGTGATGTAAGAGGTGTGGGTCACTAATTAGGAGTCATGTTTTTGATGTTGTGGTGAAGCAGGCAGGAAGCTGAAGTAATGGTAAAGGAACACTGCGGCCAGTTTGAAGAGTTTTTCTGAAAAAATTCATGAAAATTTTTTACCCGTTTGTTATAAATTTTGTTACAAGAGATAAACCCTCCTGCTGTCCTTGGGTCAAAATGACCTCGAGGTTTGACTCAAGGGCAGCAGGAGGGCTTCTTTTTTCTAAATTCTTTTTTAAAATTCATTTACCCGTTATTTATCCAGGTAGTCTCATTGAGCCACGAGAACTCATTTTCAAGAGAGCTCTGTTTAGGAGCAGGTGGGGGTTAAGGGCCTTGCTCATGGGCCCAGAGTGGGGTGAATGAGGGTGGGGGCAGGTGTGGGTGCTTCACCTACCCCACCCACATTTTTGATGTTGTCGGTACTGGGGTTTGAACCGGCGATCTTCCGATCACAGGCCCACCTTGCCTAGCCTCTGCGCCACCACTCCCCCCATCCCTCCCTCCGCTTCATCGCACTGGACTGATAAACTAACTGCTAATCTGAAAACAGCCAAGACCAAAGTGGATTAGGGTCATTTTACAACCTCATATCCATTTATGCAAATGTTAGTTTAACGTTACACCTTACAACATTAGGTTTTATGGTTATTTGTAAGTGCAAAGATGAAGTAGTACCAATACAGCCTGGGGCACTTTCATGAGTAATTTCACAATATTTATGTCAAAACTAAAATGATAGTTTGAATATGTTGTAAAAATGCAGTGTGAATGCTAAGTGCTACACGATACTGCTCTTCTTGTTCTTTCTTTCTTCTTCTTTCAGCTGCTCCCTTCTTCAGGGGTCACCACAGTGAAGTAACTCGCACGAAGACTTGGAAATTATTTTTATGCCGGATGCCCTTCCTGATGCAACCACAGACCACCGAGCTGCCACAGCCCTGTGTGTGGAGCAGAGAGCTGCTGTCAGGGGTGCCCAGGGGAGCACATGGTGGGGGTTAAGGGCCTTGCTCAAGGGCCCAGAGTGGGGCAAATTAGGGTGGAGGCAGGTGTGGGTGCTTCACCTTTCCCACCCATGTTTTTTTTAATGTTGTCAGTCCGGGGAGTCAAATCAGTGTCCTTCCGATCACAGGCTCGCTTCCTCTAACCTCTGTGCCACCACTTCCCCATTTTACTAAATGATACAGTAGTTCCTCGCTACTTCGTGGTTCATCTTCTGCGAACTGGCTCCATCGCGGTTTGTCAAAAAGAACAATTAAGAAAATATATTGTACAGTGCAGTACACGACACACGATTGTCAACTTTACAGTAAAATAATTGTACATGGTAGGGAAAAAGTAAAAAAAAATAAAAAAATAAATTCGTACAGGCATCGCCACTTTGTAGTTTTCTTTAAATCAGCCTTCACTGTAATTGCCACTAATAAGAACTACATTGCCCAGAAGCCAATACTGTACTGTAGTGCCTCTGGCCACTGCTTTCTGCTGAACAGTATTGTTGAACTATTTTTCCATAACAACAAAGTCCATGCTCAATAATCCAGGTATACCATCCAACATTTTTCAGTCAGGTCATCTGGACAGTTTCTTTTTTTGTGCTGAAACGTTTCATTAGATTTTCATCATGTCACTTGGAAAAGTTTCTTTAAAATATTAAACTTCACAAATGTAAGTTTCACAAGAATGTCAGGACATGTCTCTGTAAGAAACAGAGCATTGTGCTATAGCCCCTTTGACGGCTTGGACCAGATCAGCTCGTTACACATTGCATTTCCATATACACTTCTGGACCGGTTCTGTAGGCAGGGTCCAGAATCCAACTCGCCTTACCACCTGGTGGTGATAGTAAATCGTAAATGGACTGTACTTACAGTATATAGCGCCTTTCTATCTTATCGAGATACTCAAAGCTCTTTACACTACAATCTGTGTCCTCATTTATCCATTCATACAGCACTCTACTAGATCTCTACAAAGATAATGGAACAAATCATTCTAAAGAGACTAATCAGAGCTTTATCACATTCATACACTGATGGGACACACATCAGAGGCAATGAGGGGTTCAGTGTCTTGCCCAGGGACACTTCAGCATGTGACTGCTGGTGGATTCGAACCCCCAACTCTCGCATTGGAGGACGACTGCTCTAACCACTCAGCCAGCCCAGTGCTCCCTTAAGCTATTTACTAGTCACCACTAAACGTATTAGAAGAAGAAGACCCTGAAAATATACGCAACCAAAATGGAGGATCTCGTTGCTTTATTGAACATTATGCTCAGTCGTTGACTTTTTGTCAAAAGTCAAAGAGAAGAGACCCAGAAAAAGTCTGCGTGCAACCAAGCAAAATGCTCTGGACAAAAACAGGAGAGTGCTGAAAATGATTAGCGAATGAGTGATGGTAAGCTAATGCTAATCTGCTAATCTGTGGGTGTCGAGCGTAAAGTATGCACATGTCGATTAAATACGGTTTAGTAATACATGCTGTGTGTGTTTCAGATGATTCTCCAGCAAAATAATCTCAGCAGACATTCAGTATGTTACATCCAACTCTGGAGCAACAGTGTGCCATTAAAAGATAAAAGAGGCTGTTACCGTTCATCGATGTATCATTTCAGTATAAATGTTGACAATAAAGATGTATTAAAAATATCTTGACTTTTGTTATGACACTCTAGTTATTTACCAAACACTGTAGATGGAAAATTTGGATTTAGCTCATAATCATGACTTGAAATTGAAACAGGTTTCAAATACAGGGTGAGAATTTATTTTGAAGTTTCTGGTAAATTAAAAAGAATACAGAATATTAAAATGATCAAACTACATATATATCCTGCTAATGAAGTTTAGTTCACCATTAAGAGTGAGAGTTCTGCGATGGAGTTAAAAGCAGTCTGCTCCTCAGATAAATAATGTTAAATTATTCTTTTTAAATATGAATTTTTCTGTTAACTAATTATTCAATTAAATTCAATTCAGTTTATTTATACAGCGCCAAATCACCACAAAGTTGTCTCAGGGCACTTTACAGGAACATTCACATACATAAAAGCCAATTAGTAAAGTTCTCTATCTAAGGAATCCAGCAGACAAGTTGAATCTTGCATTAATTGAGAGAATGTATCATTTTAAGGGAAAAATCTGTTGTTTCCAAATTTCATGGCGTCAACAAATCCCCCCTTCTTCTTACAACACTCAACAGATGTCTGGGGACAGAGGAGACCAGTTTCTCAAGTTTAGAAATAGGAATGCTCTCCCATTCATGTCTAATACAGGCCTCTAACTGTTCAATCGTCTTGGGCCTTCTTTGTCGCACCTTCCTCTTTATGATGCACCAAATGTTCTCTATAGGTGAAAGATCTGGACTGCAGGCTGGCCATTTCAGTACCCGGATCCTTCTTCTACGTAGCCATGATGTTGTGATTGCTGCAGAATGTGGTCTGGCATTATCGTGTTGAAAAATGCAGGGTCTTCCCTGAAAGAGATGACGTCTAGATGGGAGCATATGTTGTTCTAGAACCTGAACATAGTTCTCTGCATTAATGGTGCCTTTCCAGACATGCAAGCTGTCCATGCCACAAGCGCTCATGCAACCCCATACCATCAGTGATGCAGGCTTCTGAACGGAGCGTTGATAACAACTTGGGCTATCCTTGTTCTCTCTGGTCCGGATGACATGGCGTCCCAGTGTTCCATAAAGAACTTCAAAGCGTGACTCATCTGACCACAGAACAGTCTTCCATTTTGCCACATTGCATTTTAAATGACCCCTGGCCCAGTGCAAACGTCTGAGCTTGTGGAGCTTACTTAGAAATGGCTTCTTTTTTGCACTGTAGAGTTTCAGCTGGCAACCGCGGATGGCACGGTGGATTCTGTTCACTGACAATGCTTTCTGGAAGTATTCCTGAGCCCATTTTGTTATTTCCTTGACAGTGGCATGAGGTGCAGTTAAGGGTTTAAGGGCCCGAAGATCACAAGCATCCAGTAGAGTTTTACGGCCTTGACCCTTACCCGTTTTTGCTCAATATGCTTCAGAACCCAGTTCATCAACAGCAAACCTTTGTGGGTATTACAACTATTTAGCAGACCGATGAACATTATTATATATATATATAAAATTAAATATATATATATATTAAATATATATATAAAATTAAATTTAACAGTTAGTTATTAAAGTGAAAACAGGATTTCATGATAAAGCCAGCACTGTTTATTTTATTGTTTTTTAATCTTCAACGCTAAAAAAAAAAAAAACTTTTTTTAAATGACCAGCTCAGCTGGTCTCACCCAATCCTCTCCCCCCAGGCCAGGTAGGGCATCATCTTCCCGGCTCCAAGCTCCGTTGGTCACTACCAGAAGGCTGTTGCCCAGACCGCGGCCTCGCATAATCATGAAGGCCGAATCCTGATCCCGGCAGACAGGCGGACCGGGCGGGACGGGTCTGGGACGAATGGTGGAAGCGATTTTAAAAAACATTTTATGTATTGGAAAATAAAACATTAGTTGTTTTTTTTAATCACTTCTGGGATTTTTAAAAACATTTTATGTATTAAAAAAATAAATTTGGTTTATTTAAAAATTGCTTCCACCGTCCGTCCCAGACCAGTCCCGGTCCACCTGTTTGCCAGGATCGAGGTTCGGCCTTCACGAATACGCGAGGCCGGGGTCTGGGCAACGTCCTTCTGCGAGTCACCAGCTCGTATGACCTTTCGTGGTGACCAGCAGAGCTCAGAGCACGCAAGGCTGGGATCCGGAGCCCGAGCCCCGAGTCGGCACCATGTAGGGTCTTCCACGGTGACCAGCGGAGCTCGGATCTGGGAAGATAACACCCTGCCCGGCCTGGCTCTGAGTCTCCGGGGGAGAGGACCGGGATAGACCTGCAAAGATCCTTCCAGCTCACTCTGAATTTTGTCGTTGGCCACCAAGCACAAAAAACGCCAGCACGTCAGCATTAGACCAAGGTGTTGTCATTAGTGTTTTTAACATTTTTAAATCTTTTAAAATCTTTAAAATAGGTCCAGCCGCTGCTCTAGTCCAAGAAATTGCAAATGACGGATGATTGTTTTGAAAAGTTTCTGAAGGATCCAGTGACTCCGCCCCTGACCAATCAGTGACCAACAGTGTTCTGACTAGGGCATTAACAGAGTACTCGAGTAATCTACACATCGATTGCTAGGACATCTATCGAGGTTAAAAATGTAACGTCGAGTATCCGTAGTGACGTCATATTATGTGACCACCGTATGACCGTAGGGGGCGGTGTTGCACTGTTGCAGGTCATACCGGGTCCAATCTACCGAACCAGAACCAGTTTCGGTTTAAGTTTTGTTTTTGACGTGCTGCATGTTTCTTCACATTTGCAGTTTAATAATAATAACTAATAGTTTAGTTTTTCCTGTGACTTATTTGCAGTATGATAAATGGTAGGAGCATAATATACGTTCCCAATGTTTTGTTGGTCTTTTTTTTTGTAAATAATTATCTTTTTTTGCGATTTTATTTATTTATTTATTTTTGTATCTTGAGATCTATGACGTCATCAAATACTCGAGTTCTACTCTGGTTTTATTATGTTAATGTCAAGTTTAAAAATTATATACTCGTTCAACCCCTAGTTCTGATGTCACGTTTTCGCATTTACTCAGCCCGGTTGGAACCACAGAGCCAAAGGTTCAGAAAAAAGGGACCAGTTCTATGTACTGTTACTAATGGAAAAGCCTTGGAACCAGGCTGAGTCGAGTCCAGTCGGGCTGTAACGTTACTAATGGAAAAGGGGCAATAGATACGCTTGGTATAGCTCAGACTATTCAACAAAACTGCTCAGGGGCCCACAGTTTCTAAAAGCCAGCAGCTCAGTGGCTGGACATCCAGCAATTAAAGTCATTATGTAAATTAACAATGATCTGTTACCTTTTAAATTTGTTTATTTTGTTGCATTGAATCTAAATACAATAAACAAAACCCCAAACCCAAACCCAACCCCCTACAGCCCTCCCACACCAGCAAAAAAACAAACAAACAAAAAACTTTTTTTTAAATGAACTCATCGGTGGGCTGGAGTAAAGTCACCCTTGGGGCTGGAAGTGGCTCACGGGCCACCAGCTGAATAGCCCTATTCTAGCTACTAGTGTTTTGCGTCATTCTCAATGTCTCTGTGTAGATGAATACATTTTTCATTTGATAAGTTTATGAGAATATTGTTAGAAAAAAAGACTGTTGTAAAACCTGTTTTACCGCGTGGACAAGGCCTTAAACTCTACTTTTCTGAATTGAAGTTATTCAGAAGCCTACATTTAACAGACGTTCATTCAAAATCTTTAAACAACTCAATTTAAAATGTCTGAACTATTTCTTTAATGTGAAAGTGGTCAATGTTTAAATGACCAACTACCACCACTTTAACAGACCTAAAACCAGAAACGTTATGAATCTACCATTTAAACATGTCTTTATGAATAAAGAATGAGGAATGTACACACTATCATAATCTTCTTAAAAGACATTGTAAAGTTTGCATGAATTTTTGTGTAAAAAAATTAACTTTTTCATGAACTCAGTGTGTCTGTTTCAAATCAGTTCATGTCAGAAAACATGCCAAAGGCACCGTTCAGACAGGTCAACATGTCTGCTTGTAGTCTTGCTTCTCGACAGTCTAAAGTGAGCACAAGCTGTTTCTGTAATGATGAGGCTTAATGTTGTTGCATTTTTAAAAAACTCAAGTGAGATTTAAGATAACAACTCTATTAAAAAGAGTTCATCAATCCACTGAAAAGAGCTGCAGCCTGAGGGGACAGAGTTCCTCTGTGCACATAAACGTGATCAATAAATCTGCTAGAAAAGAAAACAAGCAGCTGATTGGTGTGATCGCACTCACAACACTCATGATACGGTTTCTCATAATTTGTCTGCCAATTTCTCTAAACCTGCTCTTCATCTTCGTCAGCCTCTGCAGCACATTAACAAAGCTGCAGCACATGCCTGTTCTCCACACTCTGACTCCCGCCTGCTGATTAGCGGGGACTGAAACCTGGCAGAGGAAGGGACATTCAAACTGTCTGGATTTGCTCACGTATCTTTTTTACCCTCAGATGGCTGCAGCATTCCAAGAACAGCTGCCGTGTGCAGTAGTCTGTGTAGAAAAACTGCACAAAAATCTCTGAACACATGAAAAATCTCTTTAAATGGCGCTTAATACATTTCCTTCAAAGTTTCCCCTTTTTGCAACGAGTCGTGTCGTCTATATGCACAGCTTGAGCGTTTGCCTGTTCAGCGATAACAGAATTACACGATAAAGGAATTAGTTCTGGAAGAGGAGGAAGATGAAGATACTGAATAGGCCTGGAGATCAGGGAATGGCGCTGCTTTTAGAAAAGCTAGAGGTAGCAGCGTCATAAATCTTATCTGTTTTCCCCTTCATACATGTAGTAATGCACAATCTCTCCACACAATGCCCCACTCTACATTTTCTTACTGCACCCCCAGCTTTAGCTAACAAGCTTTTCCATATCAGAGCTAATTACACAAAACTGCTGCAGGACACACAATCTGTCTCCCTCCCTTTCCTCTCTATAGCCTGGCTGTGACTCCTTTTCCCTCATCACCCCTTTCTCTAGAAACCTCTGCAACATCCACCACTTATCACCCACATGTACAATTTTTCACCTGACCCCATTTTGTAGGTTATTCTAATGTAACCTGGTAGGATTCTTGTCAGGTGAAGACTTACAATTCGAAAACCATATAGAGCATGCCATCTGAGCTGTACGTCTCCAGAAGCTCCACGATGTGGGGGTGCTTCAGCATGTGGCAGATGCTGGCTTCTCTCTTCAGATCTGAGAGCACAGGGACAGAAAAGACACAAGGTGAGCATTAGTGATAAAGTGGATCCTTGAAAATGGGAATAAACTTGAGATTTAAATGTTAAAAATCAGGCTTATTAGCAACTGCTAAAGCAAGTAAGTCTGGAAAGGTTATCTGATATTGATCCTGATGCATGCTCAATAATCCAGGTAGAAAAATCTAAAAAGTTAAATCTGGTCCTCTGGACATTCAAAAACAAAACAAAGCAAAACAAAAAAATGTAGAAACGTTTCGTCTTTCATCCGAAAGATGTCTTCAGTCTGAGGTGCTGTATTCAGCTCAGTCTCTTAAATAGCACCTTCTCAGAGTGGATCAACCAGTTTGCTGCTGACAACCAAAACCAGCTGATCACATGGTCAAGAAGGACCATCAGCCTAACAATGGATCATTAGCACACTGATGGCTGTTTACTGTTCAAAGAGGGCTGAGTGATACTAGCAATCACAGCATTGTAAGAGGGGGACAGTTGAACCCGTAGGCCTCCACCCCTGTTTAATGATGGACGATTTCTTTTCACAAAGATGGCCTCCTTTACTCCTCTCTCATACCATCGTTCCTCTCTATCCAGGATGTGAACATCTTCATCCCTGAAAGAGTGACCGCTGGCCTGGAGATGAGTGTAGACCGCAGAGTCCTGGCCTGATGATGTTGATCTACTGTGCTGGTCCATCCTTTTGGCCAGTGGCTGTTTAGTTTCCCCGATGTAAGACTGATCACAGCCCTCCTGACACTGAACAGCATACACAACATTGCTCTGTTTGTGCCGGGGGACTGGATCTTTGGGATGAACCAGTCTTTGCCGTAATGTGTTTTGGGGTTTAAAAGCCACTGGGACGTTGTGTTTAGAAAATAAACGTCTCAGTTTCTCTGATACTCCCTCAACAAACGGAATGACCACTGGTCTGGGTCTGGGTTCCTCCTTTTCACCTGTTGGCTGACTGGAGTCCTGTTTGGGTTTCTTCTCTGCTTTCAGGAGGGCCCAGTTAGGATATCCACATTGCTCTAGAGCCTGTCTTGTGTAGGATTTCTCCTTCTGCCTGGCTCCTGAGTTAGTGGGGACGCTATTAAACAATTATTTAGTGATATCAACAAGACTGTTCTGCCATAATGGATAGCATCCATCCATGCATTACCTTCCGCTTGTTCCGAAGTCGGGTCATGAGGGCAGCAGCTTGAGCAGCAGGAAGGTTCAGACATCTTTTTACACAGCCACCTTTTCTAGCTCTTCTGGGAGGACTACAAGGCGTTCCCAGGCCAACCGAGACATATGGTCTCTCCAGCATGTCCTGGGTCTTCCACAGGGTCTCCCCCCAGCTGGACATGTCCGAAGCACCTCCCTAGGGAGGCGCCCAGGAATCATCCTTACCAGATGCCTGAATCACCTCAACTGGCTCCTCTTGATGTGGAGGAGCAGCAGTTCTAATCAGAGTCTCTCCTGATAACTGAACTTCTCACCCTATCTCTAAGGGAGAGTCCAGCTACCCTGCGGAGGAAACTCATTTTAACCTCCTGTATCCATGATCTCATTCTTTCCACTACCCAGAGTTTGTGATCATAAGTGACAGTAGGAACGTAGACTGACTGATAAACAGGAGAGCTTTGCCTTACAGCTCAGCTCCCTCTTCACCACAACGGACCGGCACAGAGTCCGCAGTACTGCAGATGCTGCACCAATCCGTCTGTCAATCTCATGCTCCATTTTTCCTTCACTTGTGAACAAAACCCCCGAGATACTTAGACTTCTCAACTTAAGGCAGAACCTCACCCTCGACCCAAAGAAAGCAATCCATGACAATGGATGGCAATGTGCCATATATTGCCTACAGCTATGTGCATTTAGCAAGGTGTTAGTATGCCATGTTGATGATATATTATATGTAGCTGATTCTTAGGCAAACGCTAAGGCAAGCTAAATCATTGCATGCCATAGAAAATCTGTGCTGACTAAATTACCAGCACAATAATTCTCACACCAAACTTTTAAGCACAGCTTGTAATCAAAACCCATTGAGACACTGGTTTAAGGTGGTAGTGCCCCACATCAAAGAAGAAATCCACTGAACAGGGAACAGACAGGCATGTTACCCAGGCGACAGGAGAATGATTTTATTTTTCTTCTTTCGGCTGCTCCCTGCATTAGGGGTCGCCACAGCAAACTAAATCGCAAGACAGGTGAATGAATGGCCACCTAATTTCACAACCTCTTGAATAAACATTGGTAAACAAAACAACAAGGAATTCTACCAGTGTTTTTGGACCATGTGTACACCTGGCTGCCAGTCTTTACTTGTTTTCGCTCAGGTGAAGTAAACTTCTGGAAATAATGTTTGCTAAATTGGGCACTGCTGTTAGTGAGAGACTTAGGCCCATATAGGATGGCTCTGTTAATGCTAGATAGCTAGCCAGAAAAATAAATAAATAGATAAATTACTTCTTCACTGTCATTGCCTTGGGTTTTCTGCTGGCAAACTGTTGGCAAGTCTAGTTTAAAAAAATAAAATAAAAAAATAAAAAATAAAATAATATATATATGTATATATATTACTTTTACCCATAGACTGTACTGTTTTATTACAGAGAGGAATACTGGATATGATTGAAGAGTACCAGCTGATTTTAAGAAGTAAACAGTATCGTTGAGCATTAAACAACAAATTAAGTTGAATTTAGTGAGAAATTACTTGTTTCAACAGGAACCATTCAAGCAATGAACTAACAATAAGGATGTTTACTGTCTAATGTCACAAGTAAACATAAGCCATGATGATTTGCTGAATGGGCACTATAGGTGCTTTCATCAGACTCCCTCAAAAATTGTTATTATTATTATTAAACCTATATTTTACTAGGAAAAAGAATCAAACGGTATTCTAACAAGCCCAGTGGCTAATTTACATAGGATGCATCAGTGTAGTCTACATTTTAGTTGTGGTTATACTGTCCTTAGAAATCAAAGTACACCAGTTAGTACAATGTAATTGTCAATTTATTTTTGATTTTTAAGCATATTGAACATTTCAAAATTTATCTGATGATTATATTTCAATAAATATACAATAAATTTTGTATAACAGATGACTTAAAGAACATAGAATTTAGAAAACAGTATCAAAGCAAACATTTTCAAGTATTAAGTACAGAAGTATTAATTATACAAAAAAAAAAAAAACAAAAAAAAAAAACATCCTGACGCATTCTCAATAATCCAGGTAGAAAAATCTAAAAATGTTAAGTCAGATCCTCTGGATGGGTTAAAATTTTTAAAAAATTGTAAACGTTTTGTCTTTCATCCAAAAGACTTCTTCAGTCTGAGGAGCTGTATTAACCTCTGTCTTATAACACCTTCTCATAGTGGCTCAACCAGTTTGTTGTTGACATCCAGAACTCGCTGTTCACATGATCAAGGAGGAGCTGATGGTTCTCCTTGATCATGTGATCCACTATGAGAAGGTGCTATTTATAAGACTGAGCTTAATACAGCTCCTCAGAGTGAAAACGTCTTTCAGATGAAAGACTACAATCTTTCTTGTTACAGATTTTTTAAAGTTTTTCACAACTGTAAAGTTTAGTCCTATCATTTTAAATGATCTATTTATGTTTACAGTGACATGTAACAGTACAAATATTTTTTATTCAGAACAGACATTACCAAATGAGATTCTTATTTCTTTCAAGCTGAATTTGGAAAACTGTGTTAAAAAAAAAAAACAAGCTGTCAGAATTTTCCACAGTGATTTGATTGTTGAACAGTATTAATACTTTTTAAGAATTCAATTTTGTGATTTTTTTTTTTTTTTTTGTATTAAAACAAAATAATATGGTGCTAATTTGAACATATTTCTGTTAAAATGTTGAACACAAACATGTTAAACGTAATAACATACTGGCTGTGGGGAAATCAACAGAAATGTTTTGCCCTCAACTAGAACTGCAGCTGTGTTAAAATGAACATCTGTTTGGAGAGTGTACAGTATCTGACAAAATCAAATGGAGTTCATGTATCTGGGTGGACGGATCGGACGGCATCTGCAGCCAGTTTCTTAGGATCCACTGTGGGATGGACCTTTACAAGAGATCCTTCCTGCCTACAGCCATCAGCATCTATAACATCTCAATGAAATGAGGATAACGAGTTACAGCAACAAATAATTTCCCTTTGGGATTAATAAAGTATATTTGAATTGAATTTGAATTGAATGTATTTGGGAATCTTGTTCATGAGTGCTGATAAGATGGAGCTGGAGACGAATCAACAAATGGGGGGCCAGTTGCAGTAATGAGGGTGCTGGTCTCTTCTGTTGTGGTGGAGAAGGAGCCAAGTGGAAACTGATTTACTGGTTTGTCTAAGTTCCAGTCCTCACCTATGAGGTGTGGTTCAGGATAGAAAAACAAGAGCGTGGACACAAACAGATGAAATGAGCTGCCTTCGTAGGGTGGCCGGGCTCAGGCGAGGAGAGAAGAGCTGCGTAAGGAAGCTCAGAGTAGAGCAGCCAGGAGGAACCACATGATGCTGTTGAGAGATGTTCAGGTTTCTCTCCTGGACTTGTTGCTTCTACAACCCAACCGTGAATAAACCAAAATATTATTAATAATAATAATAATAATAATAATGAATGGTTGGATGGATGGACAGTCATTAACATTTCTTGCACATAACTGTTCACCAATGATTTTAGAGTATAAAGAGCAAGCTTTGTCAGCCAATGAAATGCTTCCTGCTTAAGGGACAAGTCTGTGCAATTCAGGAAGTTTACCCCATCTTTCAAATCCACCTGCCGTCGACACTTTTCATCCCATTTTACTCAACAAAGCAAATGTCCATTTTCATCAGAGAGACAGCGACAGAATGCTGATTTGTCTGAGCTCCATTTTCCTGTCCTTGTACGCATCATTGTTGCCAAAAATCTGCTGTCATCAAATCATTTCTAGTTATCTTTTCATCTGCTTTTGTTCTTTAAAACAAATGAGAATA